GCCTTCGCCACGCTTTCCTCTCTCAACAACGCATCGGCTACCAAGGTTTATTGGAAGGCCGGCTGTCTGTTCAGTGGACGCCCCTGCAGGAACAGTACCTTCAGTCACGTGGGAGCCAACGCTCTCCGAACCTGTGGGTCTCTCGCCTGTCGCATCAGCTGATCTTGCTTGGATTTCATATGTGGGCACACAGGAACTTGGTGCAACATTCGGAGGACAACGTACAGCTACGCGAACGTAGCCGATTGGTGAACGACGGTATACACTCTCAGTTTGATATGGGCCCAACCGACCTCCCCAAGGTAGTTCAACGCATGCTCGCTGTGAAACGCCGAACTGTGTTGAACAAGCCGTTGGTCGATAGGGAAGAGTGGCTGAAGCTGGTCAGAATGGAACGCACGGCCTATCGCCGCGCTCTGGCGCCCCAACGCCGTATCCTTCACCGCTTCTTCCACCCGGCCCAGGCCCCCTGAACCCATTTCGAGGAATCAACGCCCCGAAATCACCCCGTCTTGTTGCGGGTAGAGTTGGGATCCACTCGATCCTGACTAGAGCAACTTCTGTCCACCAGATGTCTCCAATGGTTCAAACTACTTGTTGACTCGTCGCTTCACGGTACTTGACCTTTACAGCCGCTTACTCCACCGGCAATCGTATGCGCTAGATAGCATTTAATCGATTAATGTTTCAGTTACTTACTTGTGAGTTATTGGTTGCGGTATCCGATCGGGTTGGTCGACGATTCGACTCTTGTACAAGTTCAGAGAATATCGAAATAAGAGACAGATAATACCTTGAAAGAGAAGGAGGAAATGAGGATAAAGGAATAGGAACTGCAATTGCTCGTTGGAAGCTTCTGCTTCTTCTACACTTCTGGCCACATGGCAGACCCCACCCCTTTTGATCTTTATGATCAGAATAGTGAGCCTTTGGGTGAGTGTCAATTGAAGGGTGGTGACATCAACAGTTGGATTGTTGATGAAGATGGGTACACCGTGTGCCACAAGGATGGCAACCGAAGATTGGGGGCTCACCACAGCCGCCATCTCAGCCGAGAACATGCTGAAAAGATGCGTGCTCTGCACCAAAAAAGATCCGGCAAACGCAATGATGTAACTATGGAAACAGTCCGCGCTGAGGAACATGGAGAAGTGCTTGGATATGGCGACAATGGTGAATTTGTGTACTTCTACTGCAAAAAGCTCAAGGGCGGAAAGATCACTGCTGACTTGTATTATCCAGTCACAACCACTGACCCCACCAAGATTGATGGCCTGGAACCAAACATCCACAAGTCGTTACGCGTCACAGCTATGGAAGATGGAGCGTACGGTGAATGCTCACTCAACACAGGAGGAGTTTGCGAACCCGATGACAGGAGAGATTGTCTGCTTTGTGGTCGTGAACTATCTGGGCTCAAGGAAGGAACGGTCCGCAATTTGGTCATCCCTATCAAGTTTGTTGGACACAAAAGTCAGGCACTCCCTTCAAAGAGCGATCTCGAGGTCCTGATGAATGCCATGGAGCCTTACGCTACCAGGGCACCAATTGACGGTGTGAAGAAGTTCTTTCATGACAACTTGTAAGATTGAGACTTCATATACTTTGTAATACAACTCAATACTGATACTTCAATGTGCACTGCTCCGTTGTAGGGGAGGAAAGCTCACCTTGGAATCGACAGTTGTTGACTGGGTTCAGTTGACTGGCAGTACAGGTGGTCGCTCTCATACTGAGGAGTACTGCACTGGAGCCTTTGATCCAAATACCAAGGGCCAAGGTAATGGAGCTACATACCTACACAACTGTTTGGTCGAAGCGTTGAACAAGATTGATAGTTTTGTTGACTTCAAACAATGTGATAGTGATAGTAACAACAAGATTGTCGCCATTACATTCATCCATTTGAGCTATTGTTCCACCACTTGTGGCAGTGCAAGAAACAAGATTTGGTCTCACCAGTGGGGGCTGAATGATAAACGGTGGACAAGCGTGGAGAGCGTTGTTGTTAACGCATACCATTTCAATCCAGGATTGATCGGTTGTTTGGGAAGCAAGATTGGAACCATTGCCACCATTGCACACGAGACTGGACACTTTTTGGTAAGAATTATTTGAATGAATGGATGGATGGATAAATGGCGGTAGTCGTGCTCACATCTGAACCCATTGCGATCTTCAGGGCTTGCCCGATCTGTACGATAGAATAATAATAAATCTGATGCATTAATCATGTTAAAACTATCTCAAGTTTCTAGATTGCCGTTAACGGCTGTCATGGCCATTTACCATACGGAGGTGAGTCCAGTACTGTTGAACCAGTTTGAGGCATCCAATCCCAAGGAAGTTGCTCTATCACATATTACATTGCACCCTTGCACATGTAGAGAGACGATCTTGCCACTCAAGGCGGCGTATTTTTATGTTGTTTTCTGTGTTTTTTCTTTTGTTGTGCTTGTCTGTATTGAAGCTTGATTGGGCCTTGTGTTCTTGCTCCCTTCTACCCTGAATATATTGATCCAAATGAATGGAGAGCGTCCCATGGGCACAGTGTTCCAGAACATTGAGGTGGGTAAAAGCATCAAAAAGGCGGCTGGTTGTAGTCTAAGGGGAAGCAAACAGGGTCAGAGCCAGTAGTTTGTATCTTGGCATGGTGAGGCTGCAGATCAGTGGTGTTGTGCCTAGCTGTCCGTGGGAATGATGCCAACATTTGAACATCCATAAAGGGAAATCAAATTGAGGCATCTGCCAATTGACAGAAGGCTGATGGAAGAGATAGCACTTTCCTTGCAATAGTAGGTCGCCAAGGGTTGGATTGTTGCAATATGTTTGCTTGAGAGACCTTTCAAATTTGTCAGCATAATGCTGGAAAGGTTTATCAGCACCTTGGAGGTCCATTGGAGATGGTGCTCGGGCGCTGGAGACCTTTCGGATGGCCTTGGCTTCCTCATCATCGGAAACTGATTTGATGGCACCGCCAGAATCATCAGGAATGCCCAAAAAGGGTGCAAAGAATGGGCAAGATTGGACCATTTTTGCTCGTTCTTTTTGGACAAAACGACTTCTGAAATAATAGATATCCCAGTTTGCTTTCTGACCGTGAATCTTGATGTCATCCTCCTCGTCATCAGCAATTTTGTTGCTGTCATTGTCGTCCAACAGGCCCAAGAAGGCAGAGGCATCAAATGGGCAGATTTTGGCCACTTTTCCCCGTTCTTTTTGGACAAGCATAATATGAATCATTTTCGGATACTGTTTGTGCTCTGTGGACCTTGCCTGTCTTTCTTTTGCTCATCTTGATCCTTGGTTTTCCAGTTGAAAACAACCTCTTTTCCAGCGTCGCTACGGCTGCTCCGTGTAGGAGAAGTACTAGAGGTGATGTCTTGGAACCTGGATGTGCATGTTGTTTTTACTTTTTGGTTTTTTCAGAATATGATCTGTACGATAGAAATGGAGGTGGAAATGGTGTCGGTGAAAATCCCAGAGGTTAGTGAGCAAATTGTTGTGTGAAACGCTTTTGATATGTTGCTGAATGATACTAGCAAAGCGAGTCTGACTGTTAGAATAAAGCAAAATGTGCTCTATCATGAGTGCCTTTAGCGCTCAGAACAAAGTCTCTGCAATCTAAATTTTTAATCGATTGTACAACACTTTCACGACAATAGTTCTCCTGTGTTAGGTATACTTTGAGTGAAATTGTTCCTATTTGATTAATGCTTAGCTTGAATTGATGATTCAATCACAAAAGTGAGTTCAACGATTTTCCCTTGGAAAATCCCTTGTCTACAGAACTCAATTCGACTTCTACAAGGATTCTGTGTTGAATGCAGTACTTTGGGACATCTTGTATTATTCCCTACTGCAACGTACACAACATGGATATTCCACTTGTATAGGGTCTTTCCCTTTTTGTGTGGATACAGATTGTCCCGCAGACTTGCGTCAAAGCCCGACATCACGATCAAAGTCCGATCGCACGTGTCTAAAAAATTGTACTTGAATAGCTTCTTTTGGAACGTAAAAACTCATATTTCCTCATATCCCAACACACTCCTGCCATTGTGACAATCACCATTGGCAGCAATGGGACATGCTCTCATTCACTGTTTATTTTATTTTGTTTTGTATTTTGAACATATACATACTTGTCTGACCTAGTCCTGTGGACCAAGAATCAGATCCCTGAACTTGCGAAACTTCTCACCTTGCAATGGTTTAGTCATGAAATCCACAATTATATTGTCAGTTGGACAGTATTCTTAACATTTCCTTTCTCAACTTGATCTGTGATAAAGAAATAATGAATATTGATAGCTTGGCTTCTTTTGCCCGCGCTCTTGCGACCATTCTCTTCCAGGACCCACGGCAAGTTTTCTCAAATGCGCGATTTGCATGCATTGAATTTGCACGTACCCCTGCAAGGGGGTTAGTCTTTTGGTGCCATTGCTTTGAAACCCCTAAAATTGATCGTGAACCTGAAAACAAACAACAGAAAAAATTCGATGGGGTTTTGGTCGCGTGCCAATGAGGAAACATCTAAATTATTTAAGAGCGGTATTGACAGTGTCGCGTAATTGGTCTATCCCAAACGATTTGTTTCCTCAACAACTTTTTTCAATGATTCTATATATATAACTGATGCATTAATCGTATTAAAACTATCTCAAGTTTCTAGATTGCCGTTAACGGCTGTCATGGCCATTTACCATACGGAGGTGAGTCCAGTACTGTTGAACCAGTGTGAGGCATCC